TCCAATGATTTATCTTGAAGCGATATTGAGATGTATCTTCTCTCATCAAATGTGGGTTTGCTACGTGCCACTCGTGTAAGTTATGCAGGTTCATGTACCCATCTTTCTTAAATGTGGTCTCATCCGACCATAAAATTTTTTCAAAGAACTGTGGATCTTTCCTGTGTCTTTCTAACATTATGCGACAAAAAGCAACTCGGGGCTCATAATCCCGGGCAGGAGAGGTTGAACACGCTGTATGTGGTATGGATGAAGCACATCACTTACTTGCTATTGCACACTTTGATACCGATCAGTACTCCTTCGTTTACTGCGCATCTTTACATGTTCGTGCTTGTTGATTTCGTACTGTTACTAATTTTGGATTCGTGAACTGGACTGTTGATCGCTTGTGATTTGGATTTGGACTGTTTAATTGTTCTTCAAAACAACATTTGCTTTCCTTAGACTATCTTTGATAGTGTGATTGTGCAGTGCCGCTATGTCCGTGTACACCGTACAAGAATATGCTAACATGCACCTCATTTATGGGGAATGCAGATGCAACGCTAGTGCTGCAGCGAGACTTTACTGTGAGAGGTACCCGAATGCAGCTCGTCATCCAGATTATCGGGTGTTCACAAATGTGCACCGCTTACTGTTCTCAGAGGGCCAACTACCAAACCAATCACACGGTGAGGGAAGATCTTTCCTTCCTTACGAAGACGTGGTGCTAGGAGCTCTCGAAGAAGACCCGAGTACTTCAGTGCGTGCAATAGAACTAAAAACAGGTGTGCCCAAAAGTACAGCCCATAGAATCTTGCAAAAAAACGTGCTCCATCCATACCACGTATAGCGTGTTCAAGCTCTTCTGCCCCGGGATTATGAGCCCCGGATTGCTTTTTATCGCACAATGTTGGAAAGACACAGGGGAGATCCAGGGTTCTTTGAAAAAATTTTATGGTCAGATGAGACCACATCTAAGAAAGATGGGTACATGAACCTGCATAACTTACACGAGTGGCACGTAGCAAACCTACATTTGATGAGAGAAGATAAATCTCAATATCCCTTCAAGATAAACCATTGGACAGGAATTTTAAATGGTAAAATAATCGGTCCGTTTGAGTTCCCAGAGACTTTGACTGCTGAGGTTTATTTAGGTTTTTTGCAAAATCATTTAGAAAATTTATTAGAGGACGTGCCACTGAGTATTTACAGGGACATGTGGTTTCAGCATGATGGCTGCCCAGCGCACTATGCACTCTCAGTGAGAGAGTATCTCGATCAAAACTTTCCAGGCAGATGGATAGGGCGGTCTGGTACAATACCGTGGCCAGCCCGGTCACCAGATTTGAATGCGTTAGATTTTTTTTACTGGGAACTGTAAAAGAAAAAGTGTATTTCGAGCCGATTCAAAATGTAGCTGAGCTACGGCAATACTATTGGAAGCAGCTGAGTTTGGTTAATAACCGTGGATTCGCTCGTTTAATAACCCGATCTTTTTTAAAGAAGATGTCGAGTGTGTATTGCGGCTGAAGGAAAACAGTTTGAGCATTTGCGGTAAAGGTAAATCATCATCAGCAGCATTTTGACGCCCACTGTTGTGCAAACAGTATCCTTAAGGGTCCTTGTGCGTTTTCATAATCGCTGTTTAATTAGGAAATTTTGAAAAACTTTCATCAAATAAAATAATTCAAATAAAAATTGTGCATAAGTTAACGAGTAATCTTCTAAGTGTTATACCATTTTGGAATCCTTATTAAATGCGCCAACTTTTAAGGTTACTTGCCAAACTCTCGTAGTACATTTTTTCCAGTACAGCCAGTTAAAGTTTTACTTTGGAATACTTGGTTGGGAAATAAGTGGCAATTTTTCCTGAACGAGAAAAGTTGGCAGTAAGGTTGAGACACCAGTTTGAAGATGCATCATTACATTGTAAAATAAAATCCAAAAAAAGTTAATATTGTAGTCACAGGAGTTGACAGACTGCCGTAGGGTGTGAAATTTCTATATATTTTTCAAAGACCTATAATTTTCAAAACACATACATAAAATTTTTTTAAATATTTTTCTGATAGCTGTTATGACTTTGCCTATCACCCGGTTTCGGCTTGACGTCGACCTTCTGGGACACCCTGTATAAGGGCATTGTGACTTGTGACAAATCTAATCTGAGTAATATATAGCTATACAAATTGCACTTGAAAAATGATGTATGTTCTGTTTGTTGCTCAATGGTAATTTGAAAAGTGCGTGATTTTGTTCGAGGTTAATGTTGCAGCGAAGCACTATGTTAGATGAACGCCTCAATTGGAAATAGACAAGTATGAGGGTTGTTTAACGGTGCGCCTGTGACCTATCTAAAAATGCGTCGATCGATGCTCAAAGTCAATACCACACGTCCCGCATCCCTTCCCGCGTATGCATCTATTTATGTTGCTATATTGAAGTCAGAGAGCTTCTGCACTACACGTGAATATGTACAGCCCTGTGTCCCTGTACTTGTTTTTCACAAGCATTAGCAAAATAATTACGATCTAACCAGATATAGTTTTTTCCAAAGATTTACAATATTTTTACATGCGATCAACACCGATTCGAAAACTGAGAAAACAACAACTATGCCGTAAATCTAAGTTCGACAACGAAAGTCTGAAGAATAACTATAACATCTATATTGAATTTCAAAAAATAGTTGACTATATCTATTGATATTTTTGTCACCTGCAGATATAATAGAAGTGCTTGATTGTGTCAGTATTTGCACCAAATACTTGATTTTGTTCAATGGACAGTTCAGAGTCTTAATCCTTAAGCTTAGTACACACTAGTAGACCCCGTTGCGCACTTTGTCTACATGAAGTCTGGAGACGGTTTCAAGGCACGATCTATACATGGTCTATAGACATCCTTCTTTGTCTCGTCTGGCGTCCTTGCGATAATGTGAATTTTTAGTCTCATTTTCGTTTCGTCATCAAAGACATTGTTGTGTGGAATGTGCTGGGATACGACTTGGGGTCTCTCAGAATGTTTTATTTTTCGGTTAACTTTAAATGCGACGTACTTATTTTGTTCTCATATAATAAAAATATTACCTTTCTGAGGATTTCTGTGCATTTTCCATGTTTTTGTTTAAGCTGGCATTGACCAGATAGAACACAATGGATTTAAAGAGCAATAATAGGATAAATTCTAGAAGACTACTGAGGTTGAAAAATGACCAGCCCCAAATATCGTTTGCGCCCCCCTAGACGAAATCCTAAATCCGTCCTTGAATAGGTAACAAACTCCAACTGGTTTGTGGTAGCGTCGTCACTGACACACCGCTACAGGAGAAATTTTTATATATTTTAGCAATATTTGGGTGTTACGAGTACCTGCCACTTTAATGTTCAGCGATACTTCTGTAAATGGTACCTTAACTGAGATGGAATATACACGTTGAAAATTTAATAAGAAAATTAAGATACTTTATTCCGAAAATCAAACATTTCCGCGAGCGAAATATATCTACACATGATATATACCACGGCCTTGTTCAATCATTACTATCTTACGGAATCTTAGCATGGGGGGGGTCAAGCATAATTATTATAAATAAACTGAATAACGCAGAAGTGGATTTTGAAGGTTATTTTCAACAAAAATACATGTTATACCACATAAAATATTTACAGGGATGTCAGCTTTTCGACTGCCCGCAAATATATTTTTATCATACAATAATATATTTAACAAAAAATCCAAAATTATTAGATTCTATCAGCCACAACCATCAAACGCGATTCAAGGAAACATCTGTCCTAATTTCCAGACTAAATTCGACTTTCTATGTTCAACATTTTATAATGGTGTTCCTGAAAACTTTAAACATATAAAATCTGAAAAAGGTTTAAAAATTGAATTAAAGTTATGGATCCTAAATCAACAAGGCTACAAATCCATAAGTTTGTAAAAATTAAAAATCAGTATGCTATATATTTTTTTTATACTCCAACTACCACGAAGGCCTAAGGCCTAAGCACCCATGGGTACCGTGGGGCTATAGGGGGATACATGGGAAAGGGGGAACGCCACACGGACTCTGGCGAAGGAACACGTGAGCATGCAGCATCCACACATTCTCACCCCGCCTGCGAGATACGCCGGGTGGTATTTCCACGTTCGACAGTCAGAGACCATCTACCACCTACGGACAATCACAACATCCATAGCCAAAAGAAAATTTCTGCTGGGACGGGACTCGAACCCGCACAGCGCACGGCGACGGATCAGGAGACCGAAGAGTCTACTACTGCGGCCACCGCTGCTGCCTGATTTGTTGTATTCATGTTATTCAAGTTCGGCTAAAACCAGGCACAAGTGTACACTTTTTAGGTATGTTATGTTCATTGGACACTACCGTTATTTTTTACACCAAAACTTGTAGTACACCAATAAATATTATTATTATTATTATTATTATTATTATTATAATTAATATTATTATTAATTGTTTTTATACCGACACATATATTTTTCTCGAGTGTATCACCAATTTCGCCTAACCTTTAATTTGTGTAACCTTGTCTATGATGGTTCTCTGAATATTTCGTCAAGTAGACTGACTCAGTACTTATCACGCATGGATATATAACAGACACGGATTGACAAACCGACATAGATCAGAAACAGAGCCTTATGTTATGGAGATATCTTTAAGCAACAGAAAACTTGTGAAGTGATATAGTGTTGTTTCAACGTTCAGAGGTTCCTGCTGATTTTCAGACATTGGTTGGAGGGGATGGAAATTGTAGGTTGTATGCGGTTGTATGCGGTAAATAGTTGTAAATTATTGCATATTTGGTGTCAGTGAAAGATTTCTTATTATTAAGACCCTGCTAATCTCTGTGATACTATGCAACCATAAGAAATCATAAATCGCATATCTTCCCTATATCTGTCATGGTTATGTCGAAGATTCATCGTACGAGGGATGTCTTTAAGTTTTGTATATGGAAATAAAACAACACGGTAGGTAGTTTTAAATGGCTTTATGTTTTTCGAAGTATTCTCCACGAAGATTAATACACCTCTGCATGTGCTCGAACTAATTTTCGAACCACTTATTCCACTCGTTTGCTGGCAGATCCAAAACGGCATTTTTGAATGCGTCAATGCTTCTTCTGGTGACTGGAACCTTTGACCACGCAGTCTGTTTTTAATTTTCGGGAAGTAAAGAAATCGTTAGGACTATATGGAGGATGGTCCAATAACTCCACATTTTCTTCCGTTAAATACTGCCTTGTTTTTTGGGCTGTGTGCAAGCTTGCATTGTCTTGGTGGAGGATGATTCTTCTTTCGGGGTTGATTTTTCGAAGCTCGGTGATGACTTGTGGCAAACAAATGGTGGTATACCAATCCGCAGTAACAGTTTCTTTGCTCATTAAGAGGAATTGTTGCAATATGACCCGCTTTTAACACAAATGTCGTGACCATCTTTTTCGAAACATTTCGAGAACGGATGACTTTTGTTGGCTTTTCTTCACCTTGGAACACCCCAAACAGCCGACTGTCATTATTTTCTGGTTCATAACAGTAAATCCACGATTCATCGCCACTAACAACGCTGTACATATTTTTTGAGTTTCTGGAATTGAAACGGTGAAGCGTTTTTTGACACCAATTAACCCTGGCTGCTTTCTGCTCTTCAGTCAACAGGTGGGGTATCCAACGAGAAACCAATTTTCTTACTCCTAATTCTTCATGTAATTTTTTTTATTTGAGGTCTTTGAGATCTTCAAGGACGCCTCAATCTTGCGATATGTCACATGTCTATCTTCAATGATGAGTTTGCGCACAGCATCGACGTCTTCCTGGGTGACTGCCGTTTTTGGTGCACCCACCCTGGGATCGTCGCTAAGACTCACCCGTCCACGTTTGAATTCTCCATACCGACGGGAAATTGTCGACTGATGTGGCGCTTCGTTGCCTAAAACAGACAGTGACTCAGCAAGGCATTCTTGTTGCGATAATTGTCTCTGAAAGTTGTAAAAAATTATGGCGCGAAAATGTTCGTTGAGTTCCATTTTTCTAACGACTTGGTGACACTTAAAAATTCACTGTAGTGAGAACATTAAACGTATTGTTGTGAAACTTTGAATTTAAGTTTACTAAAGAGTGGGGTTCAGATTCAGTACTGAGTTCGATCCGCGCGGCCTACTATGTTCCTATATGCAAAACATAAAAGACATCCCTCGTACCTAAGTAAATCTACCTAATTACCATTCTATTTCGGCTTTTGAAACGATATGACTCATCGCTTTTCTTTGAATCCACCAACGAAGGAGTATTTTTTTCCTAGTTTTGCCAGGTTTTATTCCCTTAGCTACTGTGTGGCAGCCGTTTCATGACCCCGAGCTCCCCCCCTGGATCCGCCCTTTCTCACCTGGTCTATTGTGTGATGTTACAGTTGAATGCATACGACATTTCCCGACAGGCGTATCGATAATTGGTGTGATACCCGTATTGATAAGGCATCCAGCGCTTGGTCTGCATGGTGTCATTTTTAATCTAGTGAATGCGATAGATACTGATCACACGTGGCATCAGCAGTACATGCATCCTTCTGGTCTGAGTCGTATATACATGCCTGCATCAAATCCAATAAGCGAATGACTGTTACTGTGGAATTTTGCGGTGTCGAATTGTACGTTCCTACATGTCCAGATTGCTGGCAACGTGAAGTTTCAAACTGGACATTGTATCTGAATCTATTACCGAGAAACCCGTATATAGAGCTGGAACACTGGGGAAGGGTAACGCGCTTTACTTTTATTTGAGAAGCAACGTCAGCTAGGCATTTGGGTTGATTGGCTACCCATATAGTACGAGGGTTGTCTCAAGAATAAGGTTCCCACATTTTTTTCAGGCACAAGGAATTTTTATTCGCCGCCAGCCCACTCGGAAACTTGGTAACTTCTCTTGAACCGTAGACCGCCTAGGTGCTCCTTTAATTTTGGAAACGCTATGTCAAGGCTGTAAGGAGGATGGCCAATGACTTCCCAGCCAAACCGATCGATTCCATCCTTCGTTTGTTGTGAGACATGCGGATGAGCATTGTAGTGGTGCAGTCTTACGCTTTGCAAAGTTTTACGTTATTTTGGATTGCCAGTCTCAGCTTTTTCAGAAGCTTCAGGAATTTCAACCGCATGTTCCCGGATCGAGATTCGGCACTCTTCGAGCAAGATATGCTCTATCTTCGACGTTTTTAACAGCTTTTATTAGCTTGGCTTGAATGTTGTATGTAAGGGAATCTTTGAGCATAATTTTCAGTAATTTCCAGAAGTTTGATTGATCTGAAATTTCGCACACGTATCAAGGACCGATGACAAAGCAATAATTATATAATAGTTTTATATATATATATATAGGTGAAAAATTAAAGCTTCCGCCTTTTGTTGGGACAAATTTAAGCAAAGAGGACTCTTTTATACTTTTTTTAATTCTCTCTAGCTTTCAATGGACTTTGCCATCATCATCAGGAGCTGCAATTACAATGATAACAGTAGCAACAAAAGTGTAAAAATGAATTTAAATTGACTCAACTTACAGTAATATGTGAAGATGTTGCTAATTGTTGTTTACGTATAGGATGAGGGAAACGTCCAGTAACATGGTGAGAGCTGGATAGATGGTACATGGTCAAATTACAGTAAAATATGACAAGACAAGTTAAAAACAGTTAAAAATTATTTAAAAAACATTAGAGCATTACATCGTGAAGCCACTTGATGATTGCACAAAATGCTGTCCT